GTTCATTAAGTTGTAAGAAAAAATTTTATTTTATTTAAATATTTTTTTTTTCTTAACATTAAAGCAACAAGTGTTTTATTAATAACTATTGATATTTAAACTTGTCTACTTTTTTTTCTATTGAGTAATTAGTAATATTTTTATTTACATTTTTAATATTCATACTATTTTCAATGATTAAAAATATAAAATAATAAATAGATTTTCTATTATTAAAAATAATAAATAGATATTTATTTTTATATTTATTATCATTGCTAATAAATGAAAATTAATAAAAAATCTCAGTGAAATTAAAACAACATTTATTTTACAATTATTTTAGAAAAAAATTGTAATTAAGTTATTGATTTTAATCTACTGAAGCTAGAGAAATTTCTATAAGTTAATGATCTAAATAATTTTGATTAAAATTAGTATAAAGAGAAAATCTAAACATTCACTCATAAAAATTAAACGTTGTTATTTATCTTTATTTAAATAATTACCTAACACTTTATGATCATTAGAAATTTTTTTGTGTTAAAAAATAATATTTTATTATAAGAAAAAAACACTTCTTTCAATTCTATCAATATTTCATGGAATCTAGTAATTATTTTTCAAGGCCTGAAGGAGAGCAGATGTCAAATAATGGCAAATTAAAAAATAATAAAGAAAATGAAAAGAATTGAAGAGATAAAAATAATAAAATTTCACAATTTAAAATAAAAACCATGATCTGCAGATAAGTTTGATCTAAATATCTTGAAATTATTTCAACAAAAAGGTGTATTATGCTAATATTATCCCAAAAGCTCTTTTACTATATTTTACTTTTAGCTGCAATGAAAAACTCCTAGTAAAGCATAATTTATAAAAAAAAAAACTCCTTTATTGCCACTTGAAAAAGTTACATAACTATTTAAAATATCCATATTTTATTTTATTTCCATACTAGTAGAGTATAATCGGTGTTGGATGATCCAAAAGGGGCATTAGTAGTAAAACCAACGAGAGAACGCCAGGTGTAGCTCGAGCGAAGAGAAGGTTATTTCTCTACGATATAAAATAAAATGCGTGTGGTTATGTGCACGCATACGAGAAGCGTGGCACGAGTCTTGGAAGAGTAGTAGCAGCAGACGCCTCGACCAGCAGATGTTCTCCTTGGTTTCAGACTTGGTGTATAGTGTACAAGTAAAAGTAAAGTGGGGTAAAAAAAGACAGGATAAGGGCTCAAACAACCAAGGGATTCTTTTCTCCTTCCCTTTTTTTTTTTTTTGAGCGTCCTTTCTATCATCTGCTGCACTGACAGTGTGTTTGGAGATGTGAAAAGAGAAGCAATAGTCGATAGGCATTGGAATCAAGCAGGTGGAGAGTACTCTGCACTTGGTCAATCCTCAAATCTCAACTCAATATGTTCTAAGGGACGCCTGAATGGAAACACTTTGAAGAAAAAATTTATTTTTCTTTAACAATAAAAAGTGAAGAGTAAAATCAATGAAAAAATACACTTTTATTTGTTTAAAAATAAACAAACAATTTTTATTTTATTTTTATTTAATTTAAAAAGAGATTTGAAAGGTCAAGTGAGTGGAAAATTAATTAATCAATAATTTAGAAAGGTTTAATTAATTTGTTGGAAAAGTTATGATGCCTATTGGTTGTTTAAAAAATATATTTATTAAACCAGATGATAATTGAATCATAAAACATCTTCGAGACTTGAATAGAACAATTACATAGATGGAAACAAACAAGCAGTATCAAAAAAGAGTATTTCTCAAATGGTCAATTATTTTGTTGATCCAAAGTAATTATGGTAGTTAAATTATATTACAAGAGAGCTGGCGGATCCGGGCGGACGCAATTAAAGTACTAGACTAGCTAGTATGTTGGCTACAAAATCTACTCTCCCATGAACATCATAAATATTATCATCGCTATCTATCGCGAGCAAGCTTCCTTCCTCTTATTTTATTTAAGTATAAAATGCAATATTAACACCTCAATGAGCACACTCAATCATCTCAAGATATATCCCAGATTATTATAATCCATTTAAAAATCTCTAATTAGCTGATACTGATCATGATCACTTCTCAACATAAATAATTATTAAATAAAAATACTAAGCTATTAAGCTACTGAGGTATGGATTCTTTGTGAAGAAGCATTCGTCGATGATTACATATACCTGCTGCATGTAAAAGGGCTCGTGCTTCAAACGTCGTTGTGCACCTTCTTGTTGTCCTTAACATCCTCCCACTTCCCTTCCCGAACCTTCTTCGACCCACCACGGTACCTGAAAGTCTTTGCCCCCTGAAATACAAGAGGATTCTTTTCAGTAGCAGCTGCTCTTTCAAAATTCAGTCAAGCTTCAACCTTCGTATCCTCCGGACGCATCGTGTGCTCATTCTGAAACTCATACTCTAGAATAAACCACTATACTTACTAGAGTTATTATAATTAATTAAAAATATCTAATATTATTCACTGAATAATATCATAAATTAGTTTCTATTCAAAATAATGTTTATCTTAAAATGCAAATATTTGCTAAATAATAATAATTAAAATAAAAAGTGAGAGTTAATAATAATATTCGAAACTTGTGGTTATAAATAAATAAAAATATTCCATTAAACAACCAGGCAAAATGATTATTTGTATTTCTGGATTCATTCCAAGGTATGCTTAACTTTGTACATTTTTTTATTGTAATAAATTTTTTGCCACCAGTTTTTTGTTTATTTGTCGTGTATTTAAACATAATTATTACCACAAAATTAATTTTTTTTGATGACTCATTACATGATTCATTGTGTGAGAATACTTGCTATAATTGTTTTCTATTGTGGTTACATTTGTGTAACGGCCACCTGGTGAGTTTGTAAAGATATATAGTGTCAAGGTTTATCCTTAACTCTGAAGCCCTTACAGCATTTACAAACACATTAGAAACCCAATATTGTATTTTGCATATATTAATTATTTATGTGTTATTCTTTACCCTTATATCTATGCCAGTTTATCAGATAGTTCATTTTGAAGTATTTAATTGAATACTTAAAAAAAAAAATTTATTATCAAAGTACAATATGTCATAAATATTCATTTTTCAGTTATTGTTGGGAATTGAATGGTTGATGAATGTAGTTTTGAGTGACTAGGCATCATCATTGTGGTGTCTGAAAGATATTGTGTAGGGAATTTTTTAAATAAACAAATAATACAGTATTATGACAGCTCAAATATTTTTATTGAGTTTCAAAGAATTTTGTCATTCTAAAATTATTATAATAGAGTTGTAACACACTAATGATGTAATTTCAAGTAACTTGGCTTATCCTTCACCATTTGTTTGCTCATTTCCTTGGAAATGAAAAAAAAATAAAATGTTATTCAACAAAAGAAGAATATTTTTAAAAATGTCTAGTTCATTTCAACAAATGTTAATCTTAAAGAAAGCTTGCAATATTTTATTTTAAAAAAATAAGTTTCTATCTAGATATTAAAAAAGTTGGGTTTTATTATTAAAATCAAACTTTTTTACATCACAATAATTATCTTACAAAGGCCAACGTTATGAAATGCAATAAAACTTGCTGCGTTATACATAAAAATAGCAAACTCTTAATTATGTTGACTGTAATCAAGTAGTTATAATTACCCAGCTGAAAGAAAAATATTAAAAAATTTTTCTTCTTGTTGTATTGTCTGTATTTTTTCTCTGTCATATCTGCTTCATTTTCTTTTAGTGCTCCAAGATATATTTACCTCATTTCACTTTCAAAATAAACTAAAATAGCTGTGTAATAAAGCTGGAATAAGTTATTACATATCTAAGCTATGTCACTCCAAGTTGAATGGGCGTTTTATTAAAACAGACGTAAAGAAATGTAGAAAATGTGAGAGACTGTCAACTATAGTTTTGACGTTGCATTTACATACCCTATTCGTATATTAGTCTCTCGTATTGCATGTATAAAGGATGTCTTTTACAAGTTGAAACTGCGCTCCATTAATCCCGAGATGAATTTGTGTACACGACGATATTAATTTTCACTCACTTGGGTAGACTTGTCAAATGCACCGACATCAGTACATAGCCTGGCCATTGCTAAATGTTCCGTCACTGGTGGAAATTACGTTCGGCAGTCATGTTCATGTCTCTTCCATGATATTGAATGATACTTTAGTCCAAAGTAATGTATCTCAATCCATGTCCATCTCCTTGAATCCAACTTTCTCTTATCAATTCAAAAACCATATTATTATTGGATCTTTCTACTACTTTAGCTGCTGATTATTACCATTAAATACCTACAACTAAAGACAACATTGTAAATGATGATTTAAAAAATTCTAAGAACTTCAGTTGTCAATGAATTGATGCTAATTTTATACAATTAAAAAAATTCCATCGATTAGCAAGAAAGTAATAATATATTGGTGCTATTATTATCTAGGTATGCAGTAGAAATTTTATAAATGATTACTTAGAATGAATGCTAAAAAAAGAACTGGTGAATTTAATAAAAGATTCCAATAAATAGATATATTGAACGTCAAACAGTATTATGTGATGTCAGATGATGTCAGTTGATCTTATAATTATATCTAGAGGTTTCTCTCCGAGTTTTTCTATAATCTTAAAATCGTAATAGGCTCGCAGAAGTCCTAGAAAACAACTCCAATCAATACTTATTCAGGCAAAAATTTTTCCTGAGTGACAAAGTTGGATCAATCCAATAAATACTCTTGCATAATTTTAAATAAATCAGCCTTCTCATCTGAACAAAAATAGAAAAAACTCTCGCGTGAATCGATTGATGATGCAACGACTTAATAGGTCAACATGTCGGTTGCATACAAAAAATTTTCCGGATGTACTACCAGCTGTTTCACCAGCCATTGATTATCAATATAAACTCTAATCAATTTGCTTTTAAATATAATGTCTTTAAAAAAATATTGGACGTGCAAAATGATAATAAATATATTGTTTTATGTTACAGCTTTCCTCAAAAAATTGATCGACCCAATCATAACACCAGTTTGGGTCAGAATCTTGGACCAAGTACTCATGGTGTCTACTCTTCTGGTAGTCAAACGTCTCTATCGACTTCCTACATAACTGGTCAATCGTACATGCAGTCTCAGAATTACGGTCACGCACCATATCCTTCGCAGACGATGCAAGTGTATCCCCACACCGGATACAATCAGCCACAGAGCTACGGTACAATGGTCCAAGGATATGGAGGACAGCCACAGTCTGGTTATCAGCAAGCTCATCATAAAAAAGGATCCATTAGGAATGGGGATGTGCTCAAGCGATGTAGACTTCAAACAGCGTAAGTAATTTTTTGCTTCCTCTTGAAATTTCGAAATGATCATTTATTATTTCTTGTAGTCACATCGCATGGCTTGATAAAACACTTGTTATAATATAGCTGGTTCATTTAATAATTAAGGTTTATCTTTAGAGTAGACGTCGTTCTGACTTTACATCACAGTTCCGCTGAGTTCATTCATTCGAATTCACCTTCCGATGAGATTTATTTATTCAAGTCAGTTTAATGTGCACGTTTTCGTCAAATTTACTTGCTCTATCATCATACATCTCTATTAGTTTTATTCACTCAACCACACATCATCCGTTAGATTTATCTAACTAATTTCATTCATCCGTTAGATCTACTTTTTTCATCATCGTAGCATGAACACACTATCCTCTGCTGTTTAATGTTTAATATAAATAACTTTACTAAATACTAAATGTAATATTATACTTCCGATACACATTTTACTCAGTTTAAATAACTTTACATTAATATTAAAAGTTGAGATAAATAATTACAAATTTATTTACTTTACCATTGCCTGATATTTTTTCTCACACAAGTTTAAACAAACTGGAATTATTTATTAACTTATTTATTTTTCATTTTCAGTAGCTACGAACTCTCGCAGGATCTGCTAGATAAACAGATTGAAATGCTGGAGCGAAAGTACGGTGGAGTCAAAGCAAGGAATGCTGCTCTAACGATTCAGAGAGCATTTAGGAGGTATACACTGTTGAAAAAATTCGCAGCAATCACAGCAATGGCAAAAGCAGAAAAAAGACTAAGCAGAAATATTCAAGAAAACACAGAACGTACTGGAGTGATGAGTGATCATGATAGAATTCTTTACCATAATCAAATCTACATTCAACAGTCACCACAGACGACAAATCGACCTGTGCCTATTAGAAGTATGTCTTTAAGGGAACGAAGACATGCGGAAAATGCAGCAATGCCAAGAAGTCAAAGTGGTAGATGTGAAGTTCAGATGATGAGCCAAATTAATGCTGGACATCAGCATTCGCCTTACAGTCTCCATCAAAGTGGCAGACACACTCCATCACTTACCCCAAGTCCTTGCGGAAGACATCAACCACCAGCTAGTCCTTGTTGGGATACTAGCTCTCAAGAGAGTGGCTCTAGCATTCATTATTATAATCCTCAAGTAAGAAAGCATTTTATTTTATGATAATAAATTCTTAGATGTTATGAAGAATATTGGAATTTTCATAAAATTTTATTAAAATTGAAACATCAAAGCATTGAAAAAAAGATTATATTAAACAAAAAATTTCATTAAGTAATAAATTTACCTTGACGTTGATCACATAAATGTAGTAGTAAAGGCAAGATTGAAGGGCCATTAAAAACAGATTAATTAGTAAATAATTAATTACAGGAAACTCTATGTGGTCTTCGGCAAGAGACTCCTCCAAGAGATCTTCATCGAACCCCTTGCACTTCACCTTCAACTCCTCACAACCTTCAGACTCCTTTGACTCATAGTTGGGGTAATTCTTCACAATTAAGTTCGGGAGGAAGAAGTCGAGGCTCTGGAAAGAAAGTCCCGCCTGAAGTTCCAAAGAGAACATCTTCCATAAGCTCAAGATCGATGGAGCAAAGACACAACGGATTAAGTAAGAGCGTTGAAAATGGAAGTCTGAGTTCAGTTCAAAGTTCTGGAAGTGACTCAACTAACTGCGAAAGCTCTGAAGGCGACGCTCAACGCGGCTCTCCGATTTGGAAACACAAAGGGATCGTAAGTACTTTAGGAAAATTTTAATTGATACCTCCGGAAGAGGCCTTATCACAGTGTTCCTTATCTTCTCCAAGTCAATTTCATTTTTAAGTAAAGAGATGAATGTAAACCAATTTCGTTATTTGTTATTACAGTCTAGTTCACCAGAGCATCAAGATTGTGGCCATGCTCCTGACAATAACAATATGATCAATAATGCCAAGGATCTTAATCATTCACACGCGAGCTCAGGATATCAATTGCCTATTATGGATCATGTAGAAACAATACCTCAAGCAAGTTATAAAGTGTCTGAAACAGTGAGAAAGAGACAATATCGTGTGGGATTGAATTTGTTCAATAAAAAACCTGAAAGAGGCATTACGTATTTAATAAGAAGGGGATTTCTTGAAAATAGTCCTCAAGGAGTTGCTCGGTTTTTGATCAGCAGGAAAGGTCTATCGAAGCAGATGATCGGAGAATATCTTGGGAATTTACAAAATACCTTTAATATGGCGGTATTAGAGTAAGTATTGATCCACTAAAATTGCCAAGTTGTATCGTAAATAAAATATTTATTTAAACAACATTGGCAGCAAAATAGAATAAATTATTCAGTTAAATTAATTTAATATTTCTTTTTTAGATGTTTTGCTCACGAGTTGGACTTGGCAGGAATGGAAGTAGATGTGGCTTTAAGAAAATTCCAGGCATACTTTAGGATGCCTGGAGAAGCCCAAAAAATTGAAAGATTAATGGAAGTATTTAGCCAACGTTACTGCCAATGTAATCCGAATGTTATTTTGAGACTCAGATCGCCAGATACAGTATTCGTATTGGCGTTTGCTATCATCATGCTCAATACGGATTTGCACACACCAAATCTCAAACCAGAGAGAAGAATGCGACTGGAAGATTTTGTCAAAAATCTTCGTGGCATCGACGACTGTGGGGATATTGATAGAGACATCCTTGTTGGAATTTATGAGAGAGTCAAAGCAAATGAATTCAAACCCGGATCAGATCATGTCACTCAAGTGATGAAGGTGCAAGCTACGATAGTTGGTAAGAAGCCCAATATGGCTCTTCCACACAGGAGACTTGTCTGTTACTGCAGACTTTACGAGATCCCTGACATTCACAAAAAAGAAAGGCCTGGAGTTCATCAGAGAGAAGTGTTTCTCTTCAATGACCTTCTTGTGGTCACTAAGATCCTTAGCAAAAAGAAAAGCAGTGTTACTTATACATTCCGCCAGAGCTTCCCGCTTTGTGGAATGGTTGTTACGCTTTTTGAAGTTCCACGTGAGTATTATCAACCTTTTTCAAGTAGTTGTAGATAATAAATCTTACTTAAAAAGAGCTTTTCTCAATGGTTCTATTGAAACTGCATTCAACTCAGTAAAAAATTTTTAATCAAATACTTTGTACGTACATATTCCATTTTCGTTATCAGACATTATATAATGGATAAAGTTAAACAATAAGTTCAAATTAACTTCATTTTCCAATTTTAATGAATGCCTGAAATAACCCTATTATTCTTGCTATGTATATAATATTAATTATAATACATTGAATAGCAGTAAAAATTCCTTTTAAAAAAAATCTCTAGCTTTAATAATTCCTTTAACTTATTAATCTACTTTTCTATTGTATAATTGATGATTTGTAAAGATTAAACCTCAACAATATACAAAATGAAACCTACAAAAAACATGATACTGATGACCTACTTTTATTAAAGTCAAAATGTAATTCCATTTTTTTTTTATAACTTTAATAACTGAATGTTATTCTACCTTTTTCAGATTATCTTTATGGTATCAGGCTTTCACAGCGAGTCGATGGCAAAGTACTAGTCACATTCAATGCAAGAAATGAGCACGACCGTTGCAAGTTTGCTGAAGATTTAAGAGAATCTATTAGTGAAATGGACGAGATGGAAGCATTACGGATTGAAACAGAGTTGGAACGGCAGAAGAGCAGTCGAGGTACTAGAGGAAGTTCAGAAAATCGAGATTCTGGTGTAGCTGATGTTGAAGTATGTCCTTGTCCTGGTCCATGCTTAGAGCGACCGGAGGTTGCGGACTTGGATTCGCAGCTGAAGAGATCTGCTCTTAGCAATTCTCTTCTCGACATTCACGAACAATGTGAGTTTTATTGATCAATTAATTTTTTTATGCATCAGCAATATTTAATATTACTCAACTGGTTGAGTTGAAGTTTTAATTCAGTGCTCAATAGTTTTTTTCATTACTTGAATAATAATTTTTTTTTAATTTCTAGTTGCTGGCGAGAAACCACAGAGACGAGGCAGTGTTGGATCTCTGGACAGTGGTATGTCAATTTCATTTCAATCGACTTCCGCTAGCTCGATGAGCCAAGGCGTGAAGCATCCTGGACAAATTCACTCTGTTCATCCAGGGGCTACAATCCCTGGTGGAGGTAAAGGCCTGGCTCAGCAGCCATCTTTTTTAGGAGGTCTATTTGCAAAACGCGAACGTAAGCTGTCGCAATCAGAGGAAGCTGGAGGGCCCTACAGTCGTACCACAGAAGTTTAAAATGAGTCTCAATCTTATCAGTTCTTGGTGGAAGATAGTAGAACCATTAAACTATTGAAAGTCATGAATTTCCCAATTTTTACAACAACTTATGGTAAGCTAAATTATCGAAAACCATTGAGATAAATTATCTACAGGTTTTGGGTGGGAGAGAGGTTAACTGTAAAGGTCGATCATTTTAATTACTTGAAAGAATAAAAATACAAAAAAAAAATTAATAAAGTTAATTGGGCAGGATCCAATTCTAATCAACTAATTCGACTATCTCATTTCCTTAAGCATGTATAATATATTTATTGGCCTACAGTTCGACATCGTCTTTTTAATTATTCACATTATGAAGATGGGCGAACGAAAATAACTAAAGATTTTCAAGGTTGTATAAATAATACTAATGCTAACAATAATCATAATAATGGTAACGATAACAATAATGATATTAATGTGAGGGAATATAATGTGAAAATTGTGCTCATTAACAAACGCAATTAATGGAATTAATAAGCACCGAGAAGAGTAAAAAAAAAAACATGTAAATAATAGAAATAATTGAATTAGTTAAGTATCAAAAACCGTCTGCAAGAAAATAATTGATTAATTAATGAACTTGATCGTAAAATAGCTAAGTGATTAAGTATGTAAATAACGGCAATACATCAGTATAATAATTATTGTAAGCCTATCATTGTTCAATAATTAGTTTATTATTATTTTCATAATTTTCGACGGAAGATGCATGACAATATTTACAAACATTTGACAAAAATTGTCTTTTTAAATTATGAAATATTAAGTTGATTTAAATTAATTTTTTCAATTTGATGAATATTTTAACCACTTGTGTAAAGATTGAGAATGATTTATAGATTTATTGAGATCAATTTTTTCATCATTAAAAAATTACTCACACTGTAAATAGTTTAATATTTGTATGGAAAAATAGCTGAGCATTATGATAAGAATATTAAATAAATTAATTAGATAATAGATAAATAAATGAAATAAGGAAAATATTAATTATTGTGGCAAAAATGATGTTAAGCTAATAAAGATATGAATTAACTTAGGTAAAAAAGTCATATATCAATTATGAACAGATTATAATTGAATATGATCCATCGATTTATAATATTTATAAGATTTTTTTACCTGAGAAATGATTGAGATTTATGTAGGATAAATTAACAAAGTGAAGGATAAAAGAGATCAAAGATAATAGTTCAATAAATCTCAATTGTTAATCCGCGAACTCTAGTCTTGTCAATACAGTCGTACACTTTTTCTTATGAATAAAATAGATATTTAAGACCATAAAACGTTCATTAGTATAAAGAAAATATCATGAAATACAAACCACAAAAAAATTAAATGAAAATAAGACGTACTCACGAATTGATTTTAAATTAACTATAGTGAAGTTAAATGAAATTAATCGCGTCAATTTGTTAGAAGAAAAAACCAACAAAATAAGGGAGAAATAAATTAAGGTGAATTCAGGGAATTTCATTTGTTCTAAATTCTGTGATAAAATTGCAATGAAGACTGATAATCAACACCCAATACGAGTCTTTTAATTGGAAGCAATAGCTCTCTACATTAATATTTCTCTTACTATAATGTTTTATAAGTAGATTCCTTCAATGTTATAATAAAATTTTACTCACAATACATGAATCGTCACATCGAATCATATGTTAATTATATTGTTTTGCTATAAAATAATCTGCAATTTGACGCGATTGTATTGGAAATAAAAATTAATTAAAAATGTATTACAATCTGTCGGTAGGTTTCATGTCATTTCGTTTACATCATTTTTTAATCTTAATTTTAATTTAATGCCATCAATCATATAATTGATTCATCGAAAGAAAGTAATTAGAAATAAAATCATCATTTATAAATTCATTTATAAAATCAGGAAGTATTCATCAGATGTTATAATCTATTGATAAATTGAAAATTATTAAATGAAGTTTGATAAATTGTTATTAGTATGTACAGTTCATGTTTAATTTATCAAATATCTTTATAAGCAATGAGAACTTCATATCATATTATATGTAACTGGTATAAAACAATGAATTAATCAGGAACGAAAGTAATACAAATAATTAATGTATTCAATTTATGGCAATACAAATTTGTTCTGTTGACAATATACTATGAACTGCATTTACATAATGAAAAAAAAATAAGAATAAAGATGCTATAAACTATGGTTATTCTAAAATTTAGGTAAAAAATAATAACTGATGTAATATAAAACAAATAAACAAAAACAATGTAAATAATAGATATTAAAACGAAATGGATATACGATTTTATCGACAAATTGTATCAGTAATAATAATACGATTGTAACATTTATAATCGTCCTTTATTATTATTCGTTATCAGTGTAACGTGTAACTTCTAATAATTTATGGAAAATTTTAAAAATTAATGAATTTGTAGTCAAAATAAATTATATATGTATCAGGATACACCGATAAAGACTTATGCGAAATAAAATAAAATATTGATCTGTCTAACAAGTGAATTTTATTTCTATCACATGTCACTTCTACCTCTAGACTAAGAATTTGTTTTTAAGGAATAAAAAATAATACTTAAAAAAAAAGATAGACATCAATCAAAATTTCTTTTTAATTACAATACAAGCATTTATTGAAAATGAATTTTAGTCTTACAAATTAAAACAAATTAATTATTAATCACTAAAAATATGAACAATAATAATTGTAATTGATTATTATATTTATAAGGAAATCTATTGTAATGAAGAAAATGAATTTGTTTACAAAGATTAAAAGATATAAATGCATAACACTACTTACTTGTACTATAAAGCTTTCTATGTTCTTTCTTTCAAATCTTCAAGTAACAATTGAAAGGATTGAATTATAAGTAAATGATGACAGAAGATTAAAACGATTAAGTAGATAATAATTAACAGTAATATTACACATTAATTATGAATTTATATTAGAAAAAAAAGCTTTGTTTTGTTTTTAATGTCATTAGTTTATTATGAAATATCAATTGAAGATAGTTTAATAGTTATAAAAAGATTTAAAAGTATATAGAATTTTCAAAAAATGGTAAATGTGAGAGATGAAAGAAAAATCTCCATATCAAAGTTTGTTAATATAATTTATTGTATATCGAGGTTTCAACATGGAAAAGTACAAATATTGCAATATAGGGCCCGCGAGCTCTCCTCGGGAGGGAGGGAGGGAGGGATATCTGCAGTACAATTGCATAAGGAAGGTGATGGACAGGGATTATTTTCATTTATTTATCCTTCTCATAGTGCATTTCATCATTTTTCTTTAATATCTTCCTTTCTTATAACAGAGGGACGAGAGACGACGCACGTGCGAGAGTCGAGAATTATTGATTTATTCATTTTTGCTTAGGTCAAGAAGGTCGGGGACTGCAGGAAGGAGGTATATGTATTGTTGGGAATATGGTAAGATCTCATTTACGATTCTTATAAATTGTCACTCAAACAAACACAACGACACAATAAAAATGGTATAGAGTTTAATGAAAAGAATACATAAGTATCGTTTGTGTCTGTATATGAGTGTTGGACGACATTATTGTGAACATGTCACTCAATCATTAGCTTTTTTGTCTTGTAATATGCTTTATGGTTTTAATATAATTTTTATAAGGAAGAGGTTCCCTCCTCTCCATGGCCCCCGCATATATTTAATACTCATTGCTTCGCCCTTTGCGCGCTCGTCCTTCGTATCTCTTAAGAATTTTTTTTTTTTTTTTTAATTATCAACTTTTTTTTAACTTTTTTTTTTTCGTTATTTATAACATTTTTCGTCTCACCAATCCTCAACTGAGGCGGCCAAAGAAACGAGAAGGTAATTAAGAATAAAATTACAATAAATATCGAATCAATTATAGGAGATGAATTCGAGCGCGCTTAGGTGACAATAATTAACTACAATTTCCCGACACGCAGTAGCACGCTTTTAATTATCGTCAATTATTTTTCAATTTATTTAAAAAATAATAAAATAATCATGTATTTATTTATTTTTTTTTTTAATATTATTATTCATCGATTGATTTTTTAATTTTTTTTTTTTTCATTTTAAGAAAACTTTTTTATTTTTGCAAATAAAAAATTGACGACTTTATTAGCACACTACATGATGGTCGGGAATGAAGTACTTTCTCTCTTTATCTCGTTCTCTCTCTTCCTTTCGCTCTCTCACTCTCGCTTTTAATTAATTTTTTTTCTCGAGAACGCATGCAGCTTGTTATGTTTTAGTTGACAAAGCTTTTTTTTTTGTTTATAACTCTCTGTTTTTAACGTCCCCTAAAAATTATCTTTCTCGTCTCGTTCTCTTAAATTTCTAGCGCTCGGAATTCTCTTCATAATTCATTTTTTATGCAACACATAATGCGACTAGGTAGTACAGGTTAATAATTAATAATTAATATCATTAGTTATATAATAATAACGTATGACTAGACAATGCAAGATAATAATTATATCGTAAATATTAATAATCATGGATCGCAATTTATATCAACAATGTGATGGCGCGTATTATTTGTTGTTTATTCATTCTGTGTGGGTGTATGTGTAACTGTAAAATATTACCTAAATTGCGCGCGGTATATTTTGTCCCCCTTGTGTTTACATCACTGTTCTCTGTATGGATAATTATTTATTTATTTATTTTATTATTATTTTGTTTTTTTTTTTTTAATCAATCTGTGTGCGTTTTCTCGTATTTTAAATCTTTTCTTCTTTTCAACCCGTGTATAATAGTCTGCCTTCTGAGTGTGCGTGATCAATTATCAGTGTATCAACAATGTTTTATGTTTAATCATCATCAATTTGTTGCTTTCAAATATTCCGTGATAAAATTACACCACGAAATAAGTATACAGCACACTACATTTTTTTTTTTTCATTTTGTTTATACATTTAGGTACTGATTTTTCGATTTTAATTTCTGGCTATTTTTTAATAACTTTATTTTTAAATATTACGGTTTTGGAAAGAATTTATTTTCGCAAGGAAGCTTCAATAAATCTTTTTTATTCTCTGATGTAAAAGAAGTTGATTGCATTTATTTTTCGTGCCTTTTTTTTTCTTAATTGTTGTTTAATTATCAACAGTGATTGGCATATTCGGCACCGCCTCGACACTGCGGAGGGGTTGTGACCAGGGTGCTCGGGGTGCGGCCCGATTTCTCGATTCTCATATGAATTATTTGTTAAAATCCATCCTGTATATTTTATAAAAAATGAAGAAAATAATTCGGGTAATGTCTCCGTTTTATAATCTGGACAAAAATTTAGTCATTAGTATTTCTTATACTTTGATAATTTTTTCTTTTTGTTTTAATTATTTTTCCATCCTCACATTTGATAAAAAGAGAATAATAATAATCACATTATTATCACAATTAATCTCTCCCCCATTTTGTTTATCAATAAAATCGTATGCATTTAGTAATATTATCTAATTTGTGCAGATTATTAATATAATCCTGGAATCGCGATATTTACTTATGGAAGCATATGCGACTGGACTTTGTCTTGAGTATATACATATTTCAGCGGTTTAAATCTCAGTTATTTAACCGTAATTAATGGCAAGAGATTAATTACTTTATTCTCATCATTATCAAAAAAAATACCAGATAGGAAAAACAAATTTTTTTTAAACAAATTCTCAAAACTATTTCTACGTTTTATTTTTACTCCAAAAAAATCCTTTCGTCCAGCGAAGTTCCTTTTACACCGAGTTATATTCTCTCCTTACTCTCTCACTCTCTCGCTCACTTTTATACCCTACTTAATGTAGTTTAAATCATTTTTTACCACAGTACGGTCGTTTATTATTATAATTATATCGTAACTCTTACTTATAAACCCGTCATAAAATACATTACTTTGTTTAATATCCATGTAATATTTTTTCTTTACTCTTTTTCTCAATGCTTTCTAGTAGAGATTTTCTTAATTCTTAACTCTCTTACACCGGCGAATCCTTGGCATTTTAAAGGAATCCGCACCCCTTCTTTCTTTTTAATTTTTTTTTATTTTAATAATAACATTCGTTTGTGTTTATCGACAACTCGCGGGTCACCTTTTTTTTAATTAATTCTCTCTTTCTCTCTCTCTCGCTCTCTCTCTGCTCGCGTATTTTTTTTGCACACTCGCTTTCTTTCGCTCTTTCTCACACACATTTTCTCTAATACTTGCTCGAAAAGTCTGTTTATTTTTAAGGTCATTTTGTTGCAATCATTTTAATGTATCGTAAGAATGGATAAATAAAAAAAATGTATATATAAACATTCTTGTATATACATACATTCATTATCATTATCATTATAATATTCTATTTTTATTTCTCTGTTAGTGTTTATTATTTATTTATTATTTTTTTTTTTTTTTGTATTTATTAATTATTTTTTAATTATTTCAGATATCGTTTAAAAAAGAAAAAATGCATCTCGAAAATGGAGTCTTGTGGGTATTTGATCCCCTTTTTCCAGAAAAATGGTGGACATTATTTGAACTTGTTTTATTTTTTTATATCATTTTTTCTTCTATTATTTAATCATTACTTTAATTATTTCA